TGCTCCATCTCCTCACTTTCCTCGTCAAAGTCCCTCCCGCTTGTCGCTGAGAGGCACGTCAGGTATTGCTGGGACGTCTTATTGTTTTCATGCAGAGAACTCGGTGGTGACTGCATAGCCGCAACGCCCCCGGACAATTCAGGCGCAGAGGCCGCCGTTGCCAGTGAGTTCGTCTCCTCGCGCTGCAAGGCAAAAATATTCTGCACAAAATAATTCGTCGCCCGACGAGAGCTCGCCGTCATTTGCTGCTCCGCTTCCGGCTGGCTGTCTCGTAGCACCGACTGCGGCTCCGTGGTGGCGCCCGCCTGCGGCGGGGTGGGTGGTGTGGGAGGGAACTCGCAGGTGAAGAGATGGTCCACGTCGTTCTCGGCCAAAAACCGCCGCTGGCTCTCGAGGTGGCGCTCGAGGCCCTGGTCAAAGGGGTACGCCGTGCAGTTGCGCACGCGCAGCGACGTCTCCACCTGAAAGACCTCCGCAAAGTCCTCGCTGGGCCTCGCGCCTTCATGCGCGTCGAGTCGACAGAAACCGCGCAGCGCGATGCCCCGCACGGCGGCACTCAAGCGACTGTTGGAGTTCAGATCGTTGAGGGTCGAGGAGGCGAGCTGCACCCCGCGCGGAAGCTGCAGTTCCACGTAGCCGTCGGGGCCAACACGCACGCACCCCACGACGCTCTCGAGCGACGCGAGTACTGTGACAACGGCGTAATCCTTCGCCTCGTCCTCTGCCTTCTCCAGCGCTTCCAGGTGCTTGCTGAAGCTCACCGCCATCTCCTCAGGAACCGACGCTGAGAAGGGCACTTTCGCAGCTGTGCCGTCGCGGGCAAGAATGCGCTCCAGCGCCGCACGCGCGTCGGTGCTCTCACTGGGAGCATCGCTCACCTCTTGCAACGCGCTGCCGTCACTCTGAAGGTGACGAGGCGGCAAAATGTCAGCTTCCATGGAGGGGAATCTGCTGCTGCGCCGCCACGAAGGCCCTGATCTTGGCATGAGGTGCTGTGCGGAATATGCCGCCCGTGTCTTTGCAACTTCAATCTCCCGCAGAAGTCTCGCATCACAGAGAGGGAACTGCTCCATGAACGTGTGCAGGAGCTGCGTCAGCATTGCCACCTGCTCCACAGTAAGCTCGAAGGTGATGCCGCCGAGTACGATGTTCGTCACACCGTGAAAAAGCGTCCGCAGCGGCATTGGTCCAAAGTGCCGGATCATGCTGGCCGTGATGTCCGCTGAGCAAAAGAACAGCCCATCCAAAACCCTTCCCCCATCTTGGTCGAAGAATCGGCCGGTGATCGGCGTGACTGTGATGCTCATGTCATTCACGGCGCATTGTTTGATGAAGGAGAAGTTGAGCTTTGCACTGCGGAGGTTCATCTTGGGTGACGTCTCCCCGCCGCCCCGCAGCGTGACATCCATGTCCAGGATACTGAGATGCAGGCTGAGTTCCTGCGCGTTACTGCGTGGCTCGTCCCGCTGCAGGTAGGCATTGAACTTCTGCCGCACATTTCTCGGGGCATCCAACTTGGGCTGGATCTTAGAGAGCGGCCAGAAGAGCTCGTCGGGCCGGACCACACACCCCGAGCCCCTGAAGAGGTTGTCGATGGCCCCCATCAAGGAAGAGATGTGTGGCGGCATCACAAACCCGCGCAGGCCGGTGAGCTGAATGTCCACGTCCAGGTAGTTGAGGAGCTTCGTTCGCCCCGTCGCGGGGTCCACCGGGTTTTTGTCCTGCGGCACCGTCTGATTCGGGACGCACACAATCTGCGAGCCCGTCAACGTCAACTTGTCGAGCCGTGCAAACGGCTCTGCGGCGTCCACGAGTTTGTAGAGCGGGTGCGCCTGCGGCAGGCTCAGGCAGGCGTCAAGCTCGCGCAGGCTCAACTCGAAGGGGCGGCGCACCTCCGTCGACGCACTCAGCAGGCAGGTGTCGCTTGGAAGCGTCATGAAGAAGTGGCCGGTGCCGCCCACGCGAAGGTTGAGGAAGCTGTTGAGGGACTCGTCGTTGAGGTCCTCGCTGAAGATGACGTTCTGCGGGTTGCAGTTCACGTGCAAGACGCTGGCAGCCGTGAAAAACACCTCAAACCGCTTCACGTTGGGGATGAACTCCTTTACAAACCGGTCGTAAGTGTTGTAGGTCTCCGTCGTCAGCGGCACGCCGTGGTACATCTCGGGCACAAACTGCCAGTCCGCCAGCAGGTCCGTGAAGAAGGCGACGTAGTCCGTGTACCACCAGAGCTCCATCTCGCCAAACGAGGGCAGCACATTCCACAGCTTCCGCCCCGTGTACACGCGTTGGTCCTCCCTGTCAATGAAAAGCTCCACCGTGCGCATCCGCGCCAGCAGAGTGCTCTCGTCCTGGATGCCGTTTGTTGCCAGCGACACATTATTGCCCAGAAAGAGGCTCTCGAACGACTGGTTCTTCTCCGCCTGCAGCAGAAACTGCGGCTTCTGTATGTACTGCGACCCGCGGCCCAGCGTGATGAGTATAACTCCCTTGCGCCCCGAGTCACGGATGCCAAAGGGCGGTGAGGGCGCGGGGTTTTTTCGCTTGAACGGCACCTTCAGACATGTGTCACGGATAAACTCCACAAGCAGTTCAAAGCCAGCGAGCGGGCGTCGCTTGCCGAGCTCAAACTTCAGCGACTCCAGCGGCTCGTAGGTGAGGGGGAAGAATAGTTCCTTCAGCTTCATCAGCGAGTAGTGCGACCACGGGCCGTAGCAAAGCTCAGGGGCGTCAATGAGCAACTCGAGCCCCGTGTGCGGCAACTCCGCCTCGCGACTCACCTCCTCACCGGCGTAGACGTTTGTCACATCTCGGTAGAAGACGACGTGTATTGTGGACTTCTCCTTGCCGTTGAGGAGCATGCCGTAGTTGCGAATCAGCGATGACACCTCATCGGGGGCCGGCTCCTGTGCGTCGCTTGCAGTGGTGCCCTTCAGCATCATCATGAACGACTCGCGCCAGGTGTTCATTTTTTCCTGATGCATGGGGACATTCTTGCTTTCCTTCTCCTTCTTCATGGGGCACCAGCGCGCGTGCACCTCCTCCAGCGTCATCTCCGTGACGAAGCGGTAGAGGTCGAGGCTGGGCACGCCGTCCATCGTCAGGTAACTATGGCACTCCCCTCGCTTAAAGCCAAAGTGCAAAAAGTAGGGGTGCGCCGCACCGGCCCCGCCAACATCAACGTAGCTCCCGTACAACTCCACCTCTACGGCGCCAATAAAGTCGAACAGACGCTGCAAGACACTCTTCGTGCTCTTCAGACGCTGCTGCTCCTCCAGCGCCTTTGACCGCGTCACCGCACTGGATTCTTGCCCCCCATCCGGGGGGCCCTCCGACACTCTCCGCAGCTCTTCGTCTCCGTCAGCTTGGCCCCTGTACTCTTCCTGTCCCAGACGGTTGAGTATACTCCTCAGGGCCCACCCCTGCAAGGAAGATCTACGTGACTCTTCGTCAACGCGTGTAATGGAGGTCCGCCCCGTCTCTAATTTCTTGTAGTTCCAGGTGGCGTTGTACAAGCAGAGGCCCATGCCGTTCAGGTGCACACGGACTTTGCCACAGCTCTGGGGAATTTGTACCTCATGGATGCCGAATATCCCCACGTTGGAGGTGTCATTATTATTGCCGTCATCGTCGTACTCGTCCGCGCCTTGGGGCGCCTGCCTGCGGTCGGCGGCGGCATCGCTTTGCTCCACTGGCGAGTAGACGGGCTCCAATTGGGCAGAGGAGATCGCTGGGGGGTTTTGCTCCCGTGCGTCCTGCCACGGGGGGAACTCGATCTCGTTGCTGTTGCTGCTTCTTCCGCCGCGGCCCACGTCGCCTCCGGCGGGGACGATGTTACCACTCGCCGCGGCGGTGGCCCCCGTGAGCGAGACCTCCACGAATTGGCTGTCGGCGTCCAGGCTGACGAGGGGGGAGCCGCCCCGCGCCGCCGCCTCGCCGCCACCGCGCTCAAGTCGCACCCGCACCGCCCGCTCCTCCCGCAGCACCTCCACGATCACGCCGGGCACCCACTGCTGCTTCAGCTTCACGCGGCAGCGCGCGCCCTTCAGGTCGTCGGTGAACATGAACTCCCTCACTGTCGTCCACGCCGGGTCCTTCCACCACGAGTCCCAGAAGCAGAAGGAGACGTAGCCTTCCATGATGCGCAGCGACAGGTTCTCATCCTGGTAGAAGAAGTCCTGGATGAAGAGGCGACAGCTGAGGGGGGCAAGGAAAATGCTGCCAATTTGCACCCGCGTTGTCGAGGGTAGAATGCAGTACCGCAGAA